CCTAAAGGAGGCGACGGGCAGCAATGCGAACTTGGTGTAATGGCATGTCCTTGAAACTCCGGAGAAAGCTTTGCACCGTTGTCCTCAGCTGGTGACGCTGCCTTGTAAATGTCGTACTGTAGTAACTTAAGTGACAACAGCGGGCCCCACAGGGTGTCCTGGAAGAGTGCACACCCCTGGACAAGGAGGTGGGGAAAGGCCTCTGCCTCTCGCTTACTGCCCTTGCAGAAGAGTTTTGGAGTTTTCTTCACTCATTCCTTGTCACAGCCAAATGGAAAATAATGGAAAATGACATTTTGGCTTAATTTGCCTTTAATGTATTTTAAATTTATTGTTGAAACTATCACATATGCTCTCACCACCCCCCCCCCCCTTTTTTTTTCTCCCATTGACCCCCTCAACCCTGCTCCTGCCCCTCCCGGGCCTTCACCACGCTATTGCCTGTGTCCAGGGGCTGTGCATGTCAGTATATAAGTTCCTCAGTTAATCTCTCCCCTCGCCCTCCCCCAGCGCCATCTTCAATTTTTCTGTTTGTTGTTGAGAGAGCAAAACTTGCAAAGATTGTGCCACTTCCCATTTTTCTCCCACACCAGCCTTTCGTGTGGTGCCTACGCTTAGCACTTGGAATACGTAAAGATGTTTTGATTTCTTGTTTTCTTTTAAGCTAAGAAAATTTCAGTTGTAGAGCAGCTGCTGGCACATGCAGTGCCTTTGTTCCAGGTCTCACACCTCCCGCAGTGAATTACCAAAGAGGCCCCCTCCCTAGCGGGTGCCTTTGTGAACGTGGGACGTAAGGCTGTGTACAACCACAGGCTGCCCGCTCACTGTCCACGTTAGATGTATGTGTTAAAGTGAAATATGTGCTGAACACAAAACCACCCAGAAAAATGACCCCGGGAAGATAGCCTTTGGCACCTCTACCCACAGCGGACTACAAACATTGGCAAGTTTGTCAACCTAAGCTGTGGTCACCCGAATATACTAAGTTATACCCGTTTCTGGCCAGAAAACTTCAGCTATTACTTTCTCCACTATGATTAGCTGCGTGGCTGTTTTCCCAAGCTAAAGATGTGCATAGTCTTGTGTATTTCTTCTCAACTCTTTCCCCATCTAATTCTCCATGTAGTTAGTGCCTTCTGGTGGAGTGGGAAGAGGCCTGGGTCCCCTTCTCTTTGTTCACAGTGGGCATGGGGGAAGGACCTGAGGGGAAGGAGGTGTGGAGGAGGCATGTGGAATGAGGGGCGGGGCTGTGCCTTCCACCTGCGAATACCTGAACCTGGGGAAGAGAGTAGCCCCTGCAGGGTGGTTTACTTTCTTAGGAGTTCTCAGACTGTAATCTCTAAATATAGCCTGATATATCTTTTTCTGAGGCCCTAATTTAAAAATTAGGATAAAAATATTCAGGAGCTTTAACCCACAAATCCAGTTTGGTTGTCTACTGCTATCCTAGAATGTGAGGATTTTGTAATGCTGGGCCCTCATTGCAAAGGAAGGTAAATTCCGTCGTGTAGTTAGCATAGCACGCACTCCAGAGTTCTGACACATACACATATACGTGATTGGCTTCAATTATCTGTGCTATTCACAAGCTCCGAAAGCTATTTGAATTTGCCAGCTCTGGATTTGAAGCTACAAATCCCTTAAGTAGACCGGACCAGAAGGAGACGTGTGAAGCCGCACTTGAGGGAACAAGAGCAGGCATGTCATCAGCTTTAAAGCACAGTGGACATTAGGCAGCATAAGGAGTATCTCCTTCGAGCCTCGTAAACCCATTCTACAGATGAGAAAACTGAGACGTGAAGAGGTTAAGTACAGCTTATTTTGAACGTAGGTTGCCTTTTACTCAAAGTCTGCTGTGTTCAAGACCAATTCATAATTCAAAACGAATCCTTCCGAAGATGGCCTGGTATTTCTGCACAGCAGCGAGATGGGTCTTAGCCCTTGGCAGGGGACCAGAATGCCAGTTTAAAGGTCACTCGGCCAGACAGCTTTGAAGTTATGCTATTTTCTGACACAATTTTAAAAAATGGATTCCCATTTATTATAAATTTTGCGAATAAAGTGAGACTTGATTAATATTTCAAGATGTGGAGCTAAAATTCATGTAAAATGCCATTTGACTATAACTTGTTCAAGATCAAGTCATACTAGTGAATCTGACGCCAGAGTTATGCGAGATGTAAGATACATTTCTGTAAAAACCTGTGTTGTTGCTTGTTACTAGAGAACTAGTGAACCTACCTGGGGGCTGGGGTGGAGCAGATCTACCCCCTTGCCACCCGTGAGTCCAAAATGATCATCACTGCTGAATGGACAGTGTGGGTTGCCAACGCCAATTTTCGAAGTGGTTTACTCGTGTGGAATCCAGCTGTAGTTGGTTTCAATCAGGAACACTCTAGGCCAGTGTTTCCCAAACTTCTCTCATGATGAGAATCACCTGGTGGAGTTGTTAAAATACAGATTCCTGAATCCCAACTAAGAAGTGCTAAACTAGAATTTTTGGGAACATATAGGTAAAATTGTATTCTTAACTAGTGCTCTAAGACAGTTAAGTATTAGAGCACTAGTTAAGTATACAATTTTACCTATATGTTTACCTAATTGTATTCTTCACTAGTGCTCTAAGACAGTTAAGTATTAGAGCACTAGTTAAGTATACAATTTTACCTATATGTTCCCAAAAATTCAAGTTTAGCACTTCTTAGTTGGGATTCAGGAATCTGTAGTTTAACAACTCCACCAGGTGATTCTCATCATGAGAGAAGTTGGGGAAACACTATTCTAGGCATTGGAATGGAAAGCCTGGACTTCTATTTGGCAACTTTACCTTTGGGATTGATGAGATCTGGCTGTTTATGATGTCAGCTTACCAATAACTCTATTAGAGCAACTGTTTTCTTTTCCACTTGTAGCATTTGGGGAGTACATTTTGTTACCTATATTTGGCTGTTAAAGTTTATGTATATCTGTGTATATCTTCAAAGAATACGTGCACATTTCCTGCCTGAACGTGACTGCCACAGTGTCTAGAGTACATTTTTCTGGTCCAGAGCCAGCCTGGGAGCCGGGAGGGTTCATCCCTCAGCCAGCTTTTCTTTGGTCACAGAGCTGTGAGAGGCCTGTGAGGTTGGTGGGAGGGCGTCCACACTGAGCTCAGAGGAAGGAATGGGGAATGCATAAGGGGATACGTGGATTAATGTGCACCTCCAACAATAGAACTGTACAGTATATGGGTTTGTACATCACACTGACATTTCAAATATCAATCCAGTCAGGAAGTTTTGGCAAATACAACGTCTTTAATAAATGAGACATCTTCCTGATCTGTGTCGGCGTCATTGTGTGGCCCATTTGTCACAGGATAATTAAACTACTTTAGCCCTGTTGGTCTGAAGCATTTTCTAAATCCTTTCCCGAGCTTGATGAGGTTTAGATAGCAGCTCAGTTGACCCAATCAGTTTCCGAGGTTTGTTCCTGTCTCGTGCACAAATTGGCACAGAAATGAGTGACTCGTTAATGACGTGATCCTTGCTTTAGAGCGCATCCAAAGCCTTCTGGTTTTACACTGTGCCAAAGACCAGCAAGTAGCCAGGAATGTGCACAAGCCAAGACCCATCGCCTATGGCTGTTATCCAGAAAACACTGATAAAATTGACTGTATGAGGTTTCAGCAGGCCCACTGAGGCCCACATTGACTTCCTTCCATTGTTTCGAACTTGACACAGTGGTTGCAGGAACCAGGAGAAAGGGTGAAGATTCATTCTGGCCAGAGCAATGCTCTCTGTTCCTCTCCCTTGAGCAATCAGATGTTTTGCTGACACTGAGAGGTTTTGTCCCACTGGTAAGGCCCCTGGCATGTGCTGGCCCTTTCTCTGTGTGTGTTTCACAGACGCAGCAATTTGCAAAGAATGTGCTTTTGTGAGTTCGTATCTGATTTTTCAATATTTGAGTCTAAGTTGGGCCCTGAGATAGATGTGCACTTCATAATTACCTGAATAACTCTCTCTCTCTCTTGCTTTTTTGGGGGGAGGGGTTGATGCTTAGATTTAGTCTTAGATCTTCTCGGACCATCGGAGGCATGTAACGCAAGCCCCTCTTTATGGAAAAGAAAACAAGCCTGGGATCACACAAATAGTTGCAACCAGTGTGAACTGGGTGGCGGGCATCCGGACAATTGACCTTTTCCCTGGAGTGGAGCTGTCTGAGAATATAAGTTTACGTATTATAGCATCGATGGAGCACTTTCTTTTCAAGGCTTTGCAGTGGGGGGATGCTGAGTTGGTAGGGAATGCAGCTTATAATTATTTGTAGCTTAAATGACTTTCATTTTTGGCTCAGTGATGGTTCTTTCCAAATATCGGGGCTTTTTAAAAACGCCACGGAACGCAGGACAAATTGTTAAAAATGAGGACGTCTGTCACCTTAGTCTAGGGGGAAAACTGCTATTTTAAGAAGGAGGACTGAAGAAAGGTGGGCATCCTAGTGAGATGTATATGGGTTACATTCTACAACCATGGAAATATTGTTGATCCTTTTCTATTGGGCTGAGCCATGGGGATGACTTGGCCTTTAAAAGTCTTGTAGGCTGGCCGAAACTGGTTTGACTCAGTGGATAGAGCGTCAGCATGCAGACTGAAAGGTCCCAGGATCGATTCTGGTCAAGGACATGTACCTTGGTTGCGGGCGCATCCCCAGTAGGGGGTGTGCAAGAGGCAGCTGATCGATGACTCTCTCTCATCGATGTTTCTAACTCTATTCCTCTCTCTTCTTCTCTGTAAAAAAAAAAAATCAATAAAATATATTAAAAAAAAAAACAAAACACAACACAAAAGTCTTGTAGACTGAAAAGTCCAAATTTATGTACTGTATGTGCAATGAAGAAACCAGCAGCCACCTATAGATGCCACATAGTACCCAAGCAGACTGTGTTACTCAGCTGTTCACTGGTGGGAGAAGGTTATCTCAGGTTGTTAACCATCTTTCTCGGGGTTTCTCCACAGGCAATGGTGGCTTGCTACCCAGGAAATGGAACAGGTTATGTCCGACACGTAGACAACCCCAACGGGGACGGCCGCTGCATCACCTGCATCTACTACCTGAACAAGAACTGGGATTCCAAGGTACTTGGAATAACGGGAATAGCGTGTGGGGTTAGAAACTCAAGGAAAAGAGGGCAGATGACTTAGAGGAGAGTTTGGTGTTCGTAATTCCCACAGATGCATCTTTTCTTCTTCAACACCCTCCCACACCCCACAGGGTGTTGAAAAATTAACTTGATATCCATTATTTTCATCTCAACTTTAGTTGAGATGAAAATAATGTATATCAAGTTAATTTTTATGGGGGTAGATATTAAGTTAATTTTTGGATATCAAGTTAATTTTTACGGGGGTAGATAGAGTCATTATTAGGATGTGGAAGGGGTGGTTGAGGAAGAGAAGGTGATTTGTTATTTTAGGGATCGGCGTTTTTAGTGTACTCCAAGGCTGATGGGACTCCCAGGGCAGAATAAGATATACACTTTTCTAGCAGCAACATTGAGAGGATTCCACAAAAATAGAGCTGTGGGATAGAAACCTCTCCCGGCGAGGCTTCCCACACAGTTCTCTCTCGGGGTGATACATCTTATTGGTGGCTGCCTGCCATGGCTTACTGTGGTTTGCGAATGCCAGAGGCTTTATGGTTTATTTTTGTATTTCTGAACATATAGATAGATGGAGATACGAAGTCTGGTTCCACACGTACAAACGTCTGTCTGGAATGTGTATGCCTTGTGAGCTCTGGGGATGATTTAGGAGTCTAGGAAGTCAGAATTTTTTAAGCCTGTTTGGCTTTTGAACCTTCTGCGTCTCCGTGTCCTGTTCATTACGGCAGCTGCCGGCTGTCGCTGGGATGGGATGGTTTATCTGGGCTCCGAAAAACTAAACCTGGGAAATCAGGGGATCCATGGCGAGGCTCACCTCGTCTCCCTGTTGGGAAGCATGATTAGAATTCAGCCTTTGATTGTCCTTTAAAAACTGGAAAGGTGGTGTTACAGGCAAGCAAGTGAAGCTGTCAGCCAGTGATAACAAATCATGAAATGTGAAATCATTCAACAAACAGTGGAGTGCCTGCTAGTGCGAGGCATCGTGTTGTGGGAAACACTGGTGTGTGAGTGTTCTGCCCTACTATGGTTATTCTAGTAGGACAGGTTGGGCATACATGTAACATGAAAAGGTAATTCAATGAAAAGAGAGACACATGTAATAAAAGGTACAGATAAGTCAATCTTAGGAAAAAAAAAAAGCATGTCACTTTCAACTAACGAAGTCATACAGGAGCTAGTGGAGTTCAGAGGAAAGCTGTAGATTCTAATTGAAGGGGAATGATTATTATGTGGGACGACTGTCCTAGAAAGCTGTTCATATTAGGTTGAACCATACAAAATTGCTGTGTTTTGTGTGTGTGTGTGTGTGTGTGTGTGTGTGTGTGTGTTTTGGGGGGGGGGTGGTTGTAGGTCATAATCTGTCGCATATTGGTGATCTGTGTGATTGGACCTAATAGAACTCCATGGGCTTCATGAGCGAGGGGTGGGAAGGCTTCCTTTGGCATGAGGTCAATAAGGAAATAGCTCTAGCCAAGTTTGAAATAAACTTTAAGCAAAGTATGAGGCTGAATTAAAAATGTAGAAGTCATATATTTTTAGAGTGGAGATTGGAAGATGGCTTTATTTTTAAATAAGTCTTAAATATCATTGTTAAAATAATCTACTTTCTTTGGGGCCCTCAGCGACACGGTGGGGTCCTGCGGATATTTCCAGAAGGAAAGTCATTCATCGCAGACGTGGAGCCCATTTTTGACAGACTCTTGTTCTTCTGGTCAGACAGGAGGAACCCACATGAAGTCCAGCCTTCCTATGCAACCAGGTAACAGCCGGGGCCTCGAGTCTCATGAGTGGTTTCTTGTACAAACACCAGTTCCTGGAGAATTCTCTAACTGTGTGTCCTATGCCGATGAGGGAGTAACCACACCCCTAAGTTGATAGCAAACCTGTTTGGAGTCCATTTTAATTTTTGTTAAAGTGGAAGCTTTGGATTATTTAAAAAAAATACTTTTATTGATTTCAGAGAGGAAGGGAGAGGGAGAGAGAGAAACATCAATGATGAGAGATAATCATTGATAAGCTGCTTCCTGCACGCCACCCACTGGGGATTGAGCCCACAACCTGAGCTGAGCATGTGCCCTTGACCAGAATTGAACCGGGGACACTTAAGTCTGTAGGCCGAGGCTCTATCCACTGAGCCAAACCAGCTAGGTTGTTTTGGATTCTTTAGTATACAAAATCTATCGTCGGTTTGAATTATTAACAAACTATTTTCCATTTGAGCATATTGGATTCTAAATTTCCCAGAGTGTTTTTTTCTTCTGTCCTTTCTTCCCCGCTCCTTTCAAAATCTAATGTAGAACTGCTACCCAAGAATGCTGGCTATCACACACCAGGAATTCTGTCTGGTCAACTCTGGATGAGTTTATGAGTTGCCAGTAAAGAAACAGAGAAAGAATCTTGTGAAAAGAAAGAGGAATTTGTTTTGAATTCTCTATTCTTTTATTATCCTTTCCTTAGCATAAAATTGGTTTGGGCTCACTTTACCGGTCAGATCCCAACCATTGGATGTAAAATATTAAAATAATCATGTCCTTAGATCATACATGGGAAGATTTTCAGAGTAACTGAACAACATAGTATTGTTTAGTATTAATCTAGAAACTCTTGATACAATATTAATTTTGGATTTTGCCTTTCATTTGCTGTTGTTTTATGGTCGATGCTGCAAATCAGGCAGTACTAGTGTGCTGCTTGAATTGGGAATAGCAGATCTGGGCCAGGGGTGAGAACATGGGTAGAAAGATATTGACTAAATCTTAACAAGCCTAATTAAATTAAGTTCACACATGTAAAGTTCTTAAGATTTATGTGTTCTCCTCCAGAAGTCACAGACCTGAGTCCCTCACAGAGTCACATATTAAATGTCAACGTGGAATGTACCTTAGGTGAGCAGCCTGCTTGTGGCTTGCTTAATGGGTACAATAATTGGACCCTGTGGTTTGTGCCAGAATTCCCTTGTTATTCCACAATCCCTCGATGGCCGGAGTCATAGGAAACATTAGTGAACGTTGATGGGAAGCCCTTGAAGAAAATCAAGTGTTATAGAAATTTGAGTAGCTAATAATAGTTATAAAATGGAACTTTAAAAACTCATGCATAAAGCAACTCCTATTCCAGGCTAGCCCATAGATGGGTAAAGCTTATTAATGAGGATACAGTAGATAGCTTGAGGGCATCATTATTCCATGGCATTTTTTCCTTGGTGTCCAAAACTAAAGAAAGACGGCCAAGAGTTTTAGGTGTCCTGTCATTTAAATAAGTTATTATTCAAAGCCTCACTCAGATGTCACCTCCTCTTTCCTGTGCTCTCCCCACCAACTTGGGTCTCCCAGTCTTTAGCAGAATGATTCCCTTCTAGTCCTTTCTGTGTAGATCACTACACGGCCTGTTACAGTATTTGTTAAATTGCCTGTCTCCCCACTAGGGGCTGAGTTATATTTGCATGATCATTTGAACTACCATTGCCCACATTGATGCCTGGAATGTGCATACTTGGAATTCCTTACACGTTTTATTACATTTAAATAGAATTGAAACCAGAGAAGTTTATTTTAAATTAAAATTGGAACGGATTTCTAAAGATAGGGGACATTTTTAACATTGGCTTTATGAATGACTCTGAAGGGAGATTGTAATATGCATTTTTACTTTTTGGTAGTATTTTTAAATCTCTTTTCTTCTATCTGCTTATCTTTCACAGATACGCTATGACTGTTTGGTACTTTGATGCTGATGAAAGAGCAGAAGCCAAAAAGAAATTCAGGAATTTAACTAGTATGTATTTGATAATTTTCTGTGACTTTTGATCAAGTCAATCCTTGACTTTTATTTCATTTTTAAAAATATATTCTCACCTACTCTGTTCAGTCTCAGCTGTGCCTTAGCTTCATACATAAAGACATCTTGCTGGGCTTAATCCTGAAACCCTAGCCATAGCTCTGCTGGGAAAATCAGAAAAATGCAAAGGACATCCTTTGTGAATGCCTACTTTTGTATGAGAGGTTATAATTGATGGGAAATTGTTAACTTTTTATCATTAATGTTCACCCATCCAACATAACATTAAATGTTGCTCATACTTTTGTCACATTGCAAAAGAAACATGGTGGAACCCAGCTAGAATGATTCATTTATTGGTGTGAGACTGTGACTCCCAATATAGAAACTGGGCTCCTATAATATAAACTGAGTATGACTTAAGAACACCCCTGCACCCTCAGTACTGTGAAGTAGCATTTTCCCAAATACATTTACAGAAACACTAATCCTGCTAGTCTTGCTAAGGTAATTTACGAGAAGGTAAAGTGCTGGGCCCTACAGTATGGGAAATGTTACATATCGTATTCCTCTCTTGAAGAGTCCCAGTCCTCATTGGCATATTAAACAAAAAAAGTAATCTAAGAAATCCTGCAGTAAAGGCATATGTAATATTGTCTCACTCATGACCTATTTGGACTAAATGCCTATCAAACACCTAAGAAAATACATTTTGCTAAACTCTGTCAGGAGGCACTCTGCTCAATTTTGTTCTGTAAGATGGGAAGTATTTACTAGAGCTTTTTGGGTGACACTTGTGATATTAAACTCACCAGATCCGACTCCTTACCCTCTTCATTTTCTTTTCTGTCCCTAATCCAGGGAAAACAGAATCTGCCCTCACTGAAGACTGACTGTGTGCTCTGAAATCCGCTGGCCTCATTCATGTTAGCAATGGTTCCAGGATTCTCTTTAAGAGTTGAGACCCAAAGAAGGCCTCTTCAGTGAATTGGTGATGTGCGACCCCCTCCTGCTTGCATCAACCACATCCCTGTCTTGCGAATGGTACTTTGTGTTTTCTTGCCAAGACTGCATCCATCTTCAGACTCTCTCTTTGCCAGATGAACTCATTGTCTAGCTCGGAAAACACCTGCAGACGACCTCTTTTGCCAGCGGTTTAACTCTCATATTTGGGAATACTGTCTATCAAACAAGAGCCCAGGAGCATGGGCAAGGGAATAAATCTTATTTGCACTTTATGCACACTTCCTGATTTGAAAGGAGGAGGCTTACAACGAAGACAACATGGTGACAGGTGCCACCGAGAGGCATCTTTGAAGCCTTTGACAGCAAGAAACAGGAATCTGTGCCATCTGAACAGTTTCCAGATGTTTTTAATCCAGGGCTGTTGGTGTTTCTGGAGAATTATCACAACCTAATGACATTCTTACCTCCAGAAAGGGCTGCTGTCTCAGTCACCCATTTATAAGTGTCCTATGGGTTGATACTCCTTTTATCCTTGTCCTACAACCTGGACTTTTGACCTCTGCCCCATTTTACTGAACATGTGACTTTCTGATAAAAAATGGCAACACCGGGTGTATTCTATTTTCACTTCTTCCTTGGGGAACCTAGTTCCTCAGAGGCAAAAAATAGACATAAATCGTTGGATTGCTTTGTTAACATGGAATTTGAATTTAAAGCAAAGGGGAAACAATGTACCTGGTCGTTTAGGGTCAGCAACATCTGATACTGGTGTTGAAAGATGTAGGTCTACAGATATACAACAAATGTGTGTGCATTTGAACATTTTGAGAGCAAGATAGTTAGAAATATGGACATTCTCATTTTCAGTTTCCTTTTAAATGAGCTCATCCTCTTTAAAAAAATAAAATAATTTTTAGAAATTGGGTGCTGTATTTAAAAAAAGGAAATGGAAATAAAACAAACGTCCTGAAAAGCTGTTTGAGTTCTTTCACTGTTTCTGTCCCGAATTGCCTTTTTCCACAAGCTGGACTCCAGATCCACCGCGGTTGGCAGTGTGGAGAATCATGGGATTTGCTGGAAGTGTGGAGGGTTCTGCTGCTGCAGTAAGCATCGATCGATCTTGAAGAACTTTGCATCGAGTGTCTGCTCTATGAAAGTTACTCTTTCTAGTTTTCAATTCCATTTTCATAAATTAAAAAGTCATTCAATTACTTGCTTGAAAATCACATGAACTTTAAAGAGCTATATATATTTGGTCATTTATAGACTTTGCAAGAAATAAGCTTATTTTTTTCCTTTTCTGGTTTTAAAAAATTTCTAGCTAAGACGTGTCTTCATTCTCACAAGTACTCTCTCTCTCTCTCTCTTTTTTTCATGGTACTTATCACCTTCTAACTTGCTATGTAATTTTCTTATTTATTGTGTTTATCTTGTATCCTTCCTCTAGAGTGTAAGCACAAAGAAGACATGGATTTTTGTATGTTTTTAGTCAATGGGAGGTATTTTCAGCACCTAAAATGGTGCCTGCCACACAGCAAGGACTCTGAATAAACTTGTTCTCCTATCGTCACACGTAAATGGTCTGATTAATTTCCTTCATCTTTGGCGAGAAGGACTCGCTAGAGTTTTTGTACATACATCTCTCATTGTTGACTTATAAATCTAGGCTAAGAGTTTTAGAAAGCTTTGGGCATCGTGTCATTTCATATTTGTTTACCTATTTGAACAGGTCATTGACCACTACGAAAGTGAAAATTGACTGAAGGATTATACCCTTTGGTAACTTCCACTAATAGCTTCAGACAGGGCAGACACACTCTTCCTTTGGAACAGTTTTGAAAAATGTCATTAAGAGAGAAAGAAAGAAGGCTGTTTCTTAGGAATTTATTATCTATAAAATTGCAACTAAGATTTTTTTTCCCCATGTCATGGGAATGATAGAATATTCTGAAGGAATGCTATGTTTCAATAATATGCCTTATATCTTTCATTTTGCTCAATATTTTGACTTGCCAAAATATCGAACCTTTTAGGCCTTGCTTACTCCTTCCAGACAAAGGTCCTATAAACTAACAAACTATATATCAAATCAACTTTTAATGCACTGAGTTTTTTCTGGATGAATTTGAGTTCTGGGAGACTAACCTGGAAAATACAGCTATAATAGTGTCTGCTATTTTGCTTCACTGACAGCCCACTTAGGGGAAGACTTAGCCTTACTAAAGCAATATTATTTGGCAAATAATCTGATCAATTTCCTTTATATTCCTGGCAATGAAATATTAAGAGCCTACCTCAGTGTTACATCATCTATATAGTGGAGAGTTCTTGGCAGGAGATTAAATTTTGAACCAAATAGCCAATTTCTTGAATATAAGAGGTCTTACTAAGTGCATTAAATAGATCTTCAGTAGAGTAGTTAATACCAATTAAATGCTAGGCTGTCTGAATCATGAATTATCCATTCAGACATGATTTTGTTTTTCCTTCTTTAAAATAACTCAGATTTTTTAGAGGCTGAGTCATCCTAATTTACTTTGGCCATTAGGTCTTCAAATTTCCTGTGTTTCAGAAAGCAATGATGAGAAATGCCATGCTGGGTCAGCAGTCTGAGTAAAATGGGATTTTGGATATGTCAGGTACTTTTACATTGATAACTGTGAGGACAAGCATAAGGGATGTTCTTAGTAAAGTTACTTAAAATGAAAATAGTACAAAATTGAGATTCAGTCTTGAATCTTTTAAGTGGCATGACAAGAATACTGAATAGCTAGTTGGTTAGAGACTATTGTCAAAACTGGAAATAAATAGTTTTCAAAGTGAAGCTGGCTATAGTTGAATTCTGTTGGATAATATATGCTCCTTTATATTAAAGACACAATGTACTTTTAAATTCAATCTACTGTCAAAATGTTTTTTTTTTTTATTTATTTTTATTATTTTTATGCTGCTGTTTCACCCTGATGGCAGTGTAGGCCCTTTGAGAGTCTGGATTACCATGGCTTGTCTCCTTTATATTTACAAGGCCAAGTTCAGTAGCTAAACACTCATGATATAAAACAATTGGTAAGATAGTTCTTAAGCACTCAGAGAATACCTGTATGCCATGCCCGTTCTACATGCTGTCACATGCCATTCTTTGCAGCCTCTCAGACAGTTCTTCCTCTTTACAGATAAGGAAGTGCACTCTGAGTGGTTAGGTGGCTTGTCAAAGGTTATACAGTGACAAGGTAACACATCAGGATTGACTCAAGACTTCCAACTTCTCCAGTATTGCCTTTGCTGTCTCCTACCTGCAGAAGAGATGCCAAACAAAAGAGTGGAAATGAATGGAATTGGCAGAGAGGGAGCTTTAAATAAATGATTGTTACTTGATATTTTTATGTAATACTAGAGTCCTGGTGCACGAAATTTGTGCATGGGGTGGGGGAGGTGTCCCTCAGCCTGGCCTGCACCCTCTCACAATCTAGGACCATTGGCTCCTAACTGCTCACCTGCTTGATCACCCCTAACCATTCTGCCTGCCTGCTTCATCGCCCCTAACCTCTCTGTTTGCCTGCCTGATCACCTCTCTCTGCTTGCCTACTGCCTGATCTCCCCTAACTGCCTCTGCCTCGGTCCCCCCGTGGCTTCATCCGGAAGGACATCTGGAATAATGTCCGGAAGGTTGTTCAGCTGTCCAGACTAATTAGCATATTACGTGTTTATTACTGTAGATTTTGATTATCAATAAGGGTCTCATGCCAAACATCCTAAATAAATGTCAAATTTTCAATATAAACTACATGAACAGAAAATACCAAGTTCATATTTGAATTCTCTCTTGACTTTGCAACAGGGTCTTTCCTGCCTGCATAACAGGACTGTGGAGGAACTTAGGTATATGTCCAACACTGGCCCCTCTGACTAACGCTGGGCTTGAGCGATGGGTGTGCTGTCATCAATGAGGCACAGTTGAGCAGTGTGGGCCATCTGGAAGTGAAAACAGATTTAGGTTTCCTGGGTGCAATTTGAAGACCTCCCAGTGGGCCACAGTGCATTGGGACATTTAGACAATGTATACGCTGCCACCCTTATGCCCTTATGTCGATATGTTATTGGTGGAAGTGGGGTATTCCTTTTCCCGCTGAGTGCTAGGGGTGGGTTCCTTACAATATCTTGAGAAAAGAATTTTCTGAGACCCACACAAGAGGATAAGCGACTTTCATTTGTGTGGAATTACACCTCTGGGTTTCCAAAGGCCCATTTCCCTAATCCAGTCTTGGAAGAAGTGTATCTGGGGGTTCAGTAGAGCTAAAAGAAAAGCCAGGGGCCAGCCTTACCATTCCGTGTTGGAAATGGGTCTGGCTTAGCATCAGGCTGCTAGAAGTCCATTGTATGGTGGGGGGGCAAATGCAGGAGCATGAGAGCACAACCAAGAGCAACCAAGTGGGCCAACAGTGAAAGAGAATGAACTCCTTTGTTTAGGAGATTAAATATCCCAACCTCCCCCGGACACCACACACACACACACATACACACACACACATACACACACACACACACACACACACACACACACACACACACACTTACTCTGGCCAATGAGCTGTTCCAAGGTGTGACTGAAAATCAAACAAGTACCTTCTTTATTTCACTCAGACTTTATTAGGCATCTGTGTCTATTCTCTCCCTGTCCAGCTCCTCCTTCCACCGCCAGAAATCCCTGGGGAATAGACCGGGTGGCCCCCTGGGGAGTGTTAACCTGCAGCTTCCTGGCAAAGCTGCCCAAGTGACAAGCCTACAATATTTGGCCTTCCCTTTGCTCCCTTCCTGTTATTAATAACTAGGTTAATGACGGTGGTGTCGGATGCACTCTGAGGGGGAGGAAAGGAAACACTTCTTTCTATTCCTGATGAATCTAACCTTCCAGCTTGGGCTTGAGGTA